ATCCCATTGACACCTTGTGATCATACAGACTGGTGTGCTTCTTCCATGTGGGCTTTATTGCTTCTGAGCTAGATGGCCACTTGTTTACCTTCAAGTCTTTAAGACCTCAGATGCTTTATCCTTTGATGCCGGGCACCATCAGCTTTCTTCACCACATTTGCTTATACACCAAGACTAACTTTTTATGGGAGCAGAGGGCTTCATCTTTCTCCCTCAGAGCCGCTGGTTGTTTCAAACTGCTGACCTTGTGGTTGGCAGCCCAACCCCTAGTCCCAGCACTATGTTGCCAGGACTCCTCAGTCATCTAGTGTGTGCTGCTAAGACAAACACCACACTGTGGTGGCTGTAACAAAAGAAATTTACTCGCTCAGTTAGGAGGCGAGACATCCAGTCAGGCTCCAGCTCCAGAGGAAGGCTTGCTCTCACTGTGGGCTCTGGAGGAAGGGCCTTGTCTCCTTTCAGCCTCTCTGGGCCTGGTATCCAGTGGAGATCTCCTTGTGTCCTGACTTCAATCTCCCCCTGGGTCTAGGAGGTTCCCAGTGCAGGGGCCAAGAATCTGAAGGATACACTGATCCTGGCTTGCATCTCAGGTCTTATTAACAGCCCTCCAACCCCTCTGCCATCAAGTTGATTCTGGCTCCTAGTCACCCTGTATAGCAGCGGTTCTCAACCTGTGGGTTGAGACCTCTTAGGGGGTCAAAGAACCCTTTCACAGGGATCACCTGATTCATAACAGTAGCAAAATTAGTTATGAAGTAGCAACGAAAATCATTTTATGGTTGGGGGGTCACCACAACATGAGGAACTGTATGAAAGGGTGGAGGCATGAGGAAGGTTGAGAACTGCTGTAGAGGGTCTCAGAGGCCTGGATATAGTGTTACCTGTTGGGCTGTCATCTGTATGGTCAGCAGTTCAAAACCACCAGCAGTTCTGAGGGAGAAGGATTCCTGTAAGCAGTCACAGTGGGTCACTGAGTTGGCATTGACTTGATAGCATTGAGTTTGCATTTTTGGTTTGAGTCTTTGTTAATCTCTATGGAGCAAATGACCTCATTGTTCTCTCACCCTTATTAACATAATGGCCACTCATCCAGCCTCATTAACCCCATAGAGGTTAGGATTTACAACACACAGAGTAATTACATCAGATCACAAAGTGGTAGACGATGGGACCATACCAAGAATATGATCTACCCAAGTTGGAACCTCATTTGGGGGAACATAATTCAATCAACAACACCCTCCCATCCCTTCTATTCCCATGCCCTGCAGGTTCTCATCCCCAGTCCCCTAACTTGTCGCCCTGTCCTCGCTTCAGTCTACACATGGCCACCCAATTCATCCTCCTCAAGAGCTGTTCACTCAGCAAGACTCCCCGCCACTTGCAGAGGAAACAGCCTTCAAATTGTGCGACCAGGCTTCGCTCACTTCCGCAAGCTGCTGTGTCTGCTTTCCCTTTCCGGGTCAGCAACAGAACCCTCCTGATCCTCAATCTCGATGCCCTTTCCTATTCCCCCCAGTCCACATTCCACTTGTCTAGGAAGTGCTCTGAGCAAAAGGCCTCATGCTGGGGATGTCTGGTCTTGTGCCTCCTTCTCTGATGGCCCTTGGTGCAGGACTGCTCACGGGATGTTGTGACCACCAGAGGACAGGAGCACTCAGACCCTTGTGACACGTCGCACAACGATCGCTCTCCACTGGTGGTTGCACTGGAACGTGTTGAATGAGGTGGGAGGACTGCCTCTCCTCCTCCCTGGCTCAATTGTAGCTAAAACCATGGGAACGTCTGCACTAATTTTGCAATGCCCGTAGGGAAATGAAAATCCTTATAGGTCAGTATACAATTTGGCATCATTCGTGTGGCAGCAACAGAGATCTCAACTCAAACAAACTTAAAACGATTGCAAAGGGAACGTGAAGTCTAGTCATTCTAGTAGTAGGGCTTCAGGTGAGGCTTGATCCAGCAACTCAAACATCACCGCAGGAGCCCTGGACTGCCTCTGGCTTTCTCAGTGCCCCCTTCACCTTCATGCCCCACAGGATGGCTGCTGCTGGCCTACCCTTTCTGTACCACCCTGCAGCTCTGGGTACTCCTTGGGTCTTTCACCAGTTCCACCAAGTCTTGCTACCACATTTCTGGTTCAAAGAAGAAACATCTTTCCTAAGAATTCGGAGGAACATTGTGGGGAAGGGGGCTTGGCTTTCATGGGTTGAGTTGGCCACATGTCAGTTCCTGTGTCTAATTGGCTAATCCTACCCAGGACCCTCCCTGGCAGTAGGGGGTGGGGCCATCTCACCAGAAATGCATGACTGGTGCGGATTTCAGGTGAAGATCACTAACAGGGTCAGGAAGGCCTCAAATGTCTGCACTGTGCAGGTGGTCCACCATGAGGTGAGGCAGGTGGAGAGCGCTCCACCCCAGCACCAGTTCACCTGCAGGCATGCCATCTGGCCTCCATGACGGGGAAGCCTGTTCCCACTGCGGCAAGGCCTCGTCTTCAGTGACCATGCTAAGTGACATGAGGCAGGTGTTGAATGGCCCAGTCTGTGGCCCACAGCAGTTCTGGGTTGCCTCTCAGCTGGGGCTTGTTTGCAGACAGGGTTTCTCTGCACTGCCCTCCTTCTAAAGTAGCCGGGTCCCGGGAGTCTCTCTTACCTAGAGGCAGCGGGTCTGGGGGTGCCAGGGAAGGCATGAAGCAGAAGTATACCCTAAGGTGACCAGACGTCCCGCTTTTTGGCGTTTAAAAAAAGTCCCAATTTTTTGAAAGAATGCACAAGCTAGGAAATGGTCTAATTGGTCCATATTGACCAAATTTTTAATCAGGAACCCTCTCCTCCCCATGTCTTTTCCAAATGGATGCGCAGTTTACTTGCAGACAGCTGGCCCCCATTCTCGTAAAAACCAGAAGGCAGTGGGAGAAAGGTGGTTTATCACAAGTTTTATTGATCGAGACTCTGTGTTCATTTGACATTTCTAAACAAGATTACAAAAAATATATGTATGTATAGAAGCATGGTGTATTAACTGCATTGGTTATTTGACATGTAACCTCATACACGCCTAAGTTAGGCCGGAATAAACTCAATGGCTGTCTGCCCTAAACATGTCCTTCTCTGGTCATGCTCCATGGAGACCAACTCGCTATCCAGTGCTTTCCTTTTCTCCAAGGAAATGGCTTCTACACACTTCTCTGGGCGTAAAGGGAAAGTGTTAAGGTGCAAAGTGGAAAAGGTGCAGGCGCTACCTGCTCAGGTGCGATTCAGGTGGTTAAATCGTTCAGGTTAAATGATATAATAAGACATTCCCGGGAGAGCCCAGGCTAATCCCATAGGAGCCTCCACAGAATCACAGGGAAAGACCTTGACCAGGAAGGAACCTGGAGGCAGGCAGGGTGGTGGCAGGGATGGGAGGAGGGCGGCAGGCAGCCTGTAGTCCAGCCCCAGGACAGGTAACAAGAGCTCCACAACTCAAGGTCCCATGAGCCTGGGAGGGGACTTGCAGCCCCAAATCTAAAGATGCTACTGCTGCCTGTTAACAAGTGTCCCAAAGGGGACCTGCTCTAGCTCTGGATGAATGACAGCCAGTTTGAGGAGCAGCTTTGCCTCGGGAAGAATCACCCATCCAAGAGGCCGTGAGTGGAGTCACAGGAGAAAAGATGAGGCTGGGCTGGAGCAGGCAGCAGAGGAAGGCTGGGCGTCCGCGTGTTGCCACGGGAGACGGGGATATGTTTCTGCACATCTCAACAATGCCCGCTTTCTTTAGCAGGCAGTATGGGAGGGTCTCGTGAGCAGATTAACCACCTGAGAGCTGAGTTTGGGAGGGGTAGGCTGAGGTTTCAGACACCCACCCTGGCAAGACTTCCGGTTCCATAGCTTTCCTGCTGCGACATCACAGGTAGGTTCTTAGCTCTAGTTCGCCTGCTCCCACCCTGTACATGTGCACACACTGGGCAGAGGGCACCCGAACACAGGAGGGGGGTGGTGCTGTGGAATTACCAGAGGCTTCAAGAAGTTCGTGGAAAAATGGAATGGAGAAGAGAATGGAATCCTTCCATGAACATCTTGAAACCGCATGCAGACAAGCAGTGTAGACCTTGGCGGGTTGTGGGGACCCGAGGTGGCCCTTCAGGCGGATTGGATATGGACCCGGGGAGCTCCGTGGTGGCCCTAGAAGGTGGAGGCAGTGTTTGGCCTCACTGTCATGACGGTTCTCTGGTATTTTCCTTTTGAACCAACTTGCTCCGAGGACCTTCACCGTGTGAGAAAGGACATTATGAAAATGGATGTGTGACTTGCCTTTGTTTTCTAAGACAACCAGACACCCTGTGGCCCGATCCCCAGCCAAGGGCGCTGGGGCTCAGAGAGGTTTCCTTGCATGTAGAACCCAGACACCTTAGCCTGCTGCCCCTCCGAAAGTTCTCCTATCTCCACACAGTCAAAATCTGGCCAGCTACCCAGACATGAGAATTAAAACACAGACTGACAGACAGACGGTCTTAGTGCAGTCTGTGAGGTCGTGTGATGACACAGATATATATGTGCATATAGTTCTGTGTTTCTATATGGCAGGCGAGCAGAGTCCAAAGAACCAAAGAATTCTGACGGGAAATCCAGCCAACCTTGGCACTTCTAATCTACACCTGTGGACCAAGTGCCTTCTCTTCTCCTATGGTCTTTGATGGGCTCTGGGCTGGCACCCCAGGGGTCTGTCTGGGCCTGAGTCCTCTGAAAGTGCTCCTCGCGAACATGCAGACGGCCGCCTCCACGCTCAGCGACTGGGACCTGGTGAAAAGGTTCCTCCCAAACAAATCCTGATCCAAGTCTGTAGCTCTGGCTGGGATGTCACCACATGCAGGTGACAGAGTGGGGGTGGCACGTGGAAGGGTCACGTAGGAGCACTCCGATTTCAGTCCTCTCCTGTGCCAGCCTCCAAGGCATAGTGGGGTCTTGTCTCTCTCCCACTGCACAAGGGTGAGCCGCGCCCACGCCCGGCCAGACGGCCTTGCTGCAGGTTGGCCCAGCCATGGCAGGGAGGGTAGCCGTGAGAATGAGCCTCCAACCCCACCACCACAGCCTGAGGCCGCGGCTGGGGTGTGCGTGAGGGTTGTGTCCAGACTCTGCCTGCTGCTGGTGCCACAACCACCACCCTGCCTTGGGAGGAAGGGCTCTGTGTCTGTATTAAGGCTTTCATTCTGTGAGGGAAAGAGCAAACCTGGACATAACAAAAATAACCTATTTCCTACAAAAATACCGTCTAGCTCTAGCAGACTGCTCTCTCTCCTACCCGCCTCTTGTTCTCCCGGGGTCCACTGTGCCCAGGGGACAGGGAGTGGTTGGGACCCCCGACCTGCTGACTGAATGGAACCTGCTCTTCTCTTCACCAAGAGAAACAGACTAGGCGCCACAGGGTTGAGCAGACCAGTCCGAAAAGCTACTCTTTAGGCTTCCTAGTAACTCAGCGGCGTTCTAGGAATCTCTCCAATGGGTTCATAAAGCTCTTTCCTTGGAAGGCTGTGGAGGGGGGGTTGGGGAAGGGGCAGGGGGGCAGCAGTGCTCTGGTGCTGGGACAGAGGGACAAGCCTGGGGGCAGGTGGGCACGGCAGGAGCAGCACCTTCTCCCCGTCCGCCCAGCATCTCTTTGGTGGACAGTTCTACTCTAACAACGACAGGAGACAAAATAAATAAGATCACCTTTTGCCCTGGGGCAGTCCTCTGGGGGAGCAACAGGCACTAGAGGACGTTCCCAGCAGTGCGCTGCTTAGGTTGCCCAGAAGGTTCAACAACCGCTCACTTGCTGGGATCCACAAAGCCCACCCCCTCCACACCCGGCTCCCCTGGCTTCTGAGTGCTCTTTGGACAGGATTCCTATTCTTCTCAACCTCTATCCTGCTAGCCCCACCCTCCCTTCCCTCCCCCTATTTCAATAGACACTCGGGCATTTAGAGAGCATCTCCTGTCTGGCATCTGCTTTCCCTGTGAAGCTGGGGCACAGAAGGGGCAGTGCGCTCCCCAAGATTCCCAGTGAGTTAGTAGCACAGCAGGTCTCAGGACAGGGTCCCTGGCTCCCAACCTGCTCCCCGGGCCCTGCCTGCGGCCCCGCCTCTCAGTCGGCCTTCTGCAGGGACTTCCTGTGGGAGGGCGGCACCAGGTGGGAGGGCAGGCTGCTGGGCAGCTCGTAGCCGTCCAGCTTGATCCTGATGAGGTGCTTGGCCAGGGCGAACTCCTCATCATCCAGCATGCCATCGCAGTCACAGTCAGCCAGCTTCCAGATCTTGCCCAGGACGCTGTTGGGCAGCTTGGAAGTGACCATCTCCTTCTTGGCGTTAACGCCCGTGATCTTGCCATTGATGGGCGACAGCGTGTAGAAGAGCTCATCGTACACGGGCTTGTCCTTAGCCACCACCCACTCCTCCTCGTCGGCACCCTCCTTGGCCCCCTCCCCGTAGCCCTGGTTGAAGGGGCCCTCGGAGGTGCCATCGAAGGCGCCGCCTTGCACCAGCTGGGTGGGCATGCTGGTCTCCTCCTGGCTGATGAGGTTCATCAGCGACGCGATTTTGCTGCCCAGCATGTTGTCCACAGCCTCGATCAGCTTGGGCTTCAGCGAGTGGAATTTGGTGAAGTCATAGTTCTCCAGCTGCTCCTGCGGGGACAAAAGCACACGCACTGGGTCACACGCCGTGTCCTCAGGAAGCAAACCCTGCGGGGGGCTCACGCCACATTCTCCAGCTCGCCTGGGGGGACCCCACTTCCCAACTCACGACTTATCAGACAGTGTCATGGAGGAAACCGGGCCCGCACCCAAGGGCCCTAACCCTGCTAACTGTGAATGTGGCCTTGTTTGGAAATGCGGGGGCTGCTGTGAAGGTCAACTGAAGTACGTAGCAAACATACCGCTATGAGGCCATATTGGAGTAGAGTGGGCACTTTTCCCATCTGAGTGGTGCCTCACAGAAGAGAAACCACGGGAGCCACTCCAATCTGTGTGGTGTCCTACAGGAGAGACCACGGGAGCCACTCCAATCTGTGTGGTGTCCTACAGGAGAGACCACGGGA